TTACACCTCCAGTTGTCCGGGTCATTCAAAATGGGCCATGATGCTTCCTTTGGTTTTGGGCACAGCTCACCATTTTTCGGATTGCAACATGCACGCTATTGGTTGAATCGTTGTCAAAAATTAAGACGGGACGAATGGGAGCATGCCGTCGCCGAGACAGTTTGAGACGAGCCAAGAGAAATTGTGTATCAGATTTGTACGATCTTGATAACAAAACTAAAAGGCCAAATAGAGACAAAAGTTGAAATGGGTCAACCTATAAACATCGATGATGTTTTCTACTTTACAAAAGGAAAATTATAGCATAAAAAAACAAAATTCGGTCCAATTTTAGATTTCCGAATCATTAAATATGTAAATACTAAATCCCGTACCAAATGATTAGGAACTTTTTTAATTTAGGATTGAAATTTTTTCGGTTTGATTTGAGATTTTCGAGAATTTTTTCTCACCCTGTGTAGCCGAATCGACCCGAAAGACAAAAGTTAATTGAATTCAATTTTTCGAGATTGCCCTTTGAAGGTCAATTAACATGTTTAGGTGGGTACTGGATTGTTCTGTGTTGGCCCAATTAATTATTCGATTCGTATCCTTTTCGGGAGGGAGCGTGTAAGCGCGCCACGTCAGCAAAATTTGAACTCCCTCCCAAAATCCTTAACGGCTATTTTGCTGGCACTTACGAAAATCATAAATAAAATATAAAAAAAACCAGAACCATATCAAGGGATAATTCGCACTGTTCTCTCTCTCTCTCTCTCTCTCTCTCTCTCTCTCCATCTTCAGTTCTACGATGGCGTCGTCTTTGGACGACAACCCTGACCGCACCAAGACCCCAACACGCTCCAAAACATGTCGGAAGGTCCGATTTGTAGCGAAAGTCAGGGGATTTACGGACTCAGAGGCCGAGTTTTCCAAGGGGGACTCTTGGATCTCCGTGAAGAAACCGAATGGAGAGGATTCAGAGAGTGTCACTCTCTCTTTCAAAGAGCAGCAGCCTACAAGGTAACGTCGATTTCTGTATCGAATTCCTACTGATTCTTACTCTTTGGGTTTTGTTACGAAATGAAAATTGTTAATTTTTGTGATTAAGTGTAAGGTTACATGGATTTTCCTCAATTTTGTGTTGTAGCCGTAAAGAATCGTATGAATTGGATTACTGCTACGACCAATACGAAGACAATGGCGTAATCTTTTCGCGAGAGGTGAAGCCTCTAATACCTGGAGTTCTTGGTGGTTGTAATGCCACTGTTGTTGCATTGGGAGCAAGATGCAGTGGAAAGACATGCTTAATTCAGGTGGGGTGTATTTCTCCCTAATTTTTTCCCCCAAGTTTTAGTCTTTTAACTATTTTTTCTTTCGAAATAGCATGTATAGTGATGAGTTGAACCACTTGATTTTGAAGGGTTCTGCTGAGAAACCAGGTTTGGCAGCTCTAGCAATGGCTGAAATTTTTTTGGCTTCGGAGAAAGATGGAAATTCCGTTACTATATCATCTTACGAGGTCTATCAGGACCATGTGTATGATATCTTGGATCCAGAACGACGACTAGTTTTGGTACAGGGTGATGTTCAAGGGAAAATTCGGCTTAAAGGACTTTCTCGGGTAAGTTATTTGTTGTTTGTTTTAAATCTAGATAGCAAGATCGGCTTTCTATTTTGCATTCTTCATGAGTCATGACATATCTGTTCATACCTTTCCAGGTTCCCGTGAAATCAGTTTCAGAATTCTACAATTTATATGTAAGTGGGTGTGCTTCCTGTAAACGAGCACAAAAAGCTTCCTGTAAACGAGCACAAAAAGTAGCTACTGAACTTCCTCGTCGCGGCCACAAGGGCTTGATAGTGCATGTATCATCTCATAGTGAAAGCTCAGATGCCCTTCATGTGGGAAAGTTGAATTTTGTTGACTTGGCAGGTTGTATGTTTTTTTAACCACAGGCCAAACATGTTTCAGCCTCTTTTTTTCTTCTCGTTTGTTGTTTGTTTGACAATGTTATATAGGAAATAACTTTATTCAATCTCCCTTTAATAGGTTATGAGGGAACCCGTAGCCATAGGAAAAGTGTCAATGGCCTAAATCTTGTGGAGACTAGTAAAATTCACAAGTCAATATATGCCATGTTGAATGTTGTTCACGCTCTGAGCGCTTCTGGAAATCATGTACCTTACCGGGAAAGCAAACTTACACACTTATTGCAAGACTCCCTGAGTAGGAGCGAATAGAGTTCTGATGGTCACTTGCTTGGTAAGAGTTGTTCGTTTGGTTGCAAGGTTTTCTTTTTCTGGTTTATTGTTGTCTGGGAGCTTTGGTTGTCTTTGACCTTAATTCTTTCTTTTTCAATGTAGAAACCAACATTTTGTCAAGATTCCATGTACATGGTAAGCCTGGTGTCTCGCTCTTGTCAAAATAATAATGGGGCTGTCATGGAGTCTTCAAAGAAAACTAAATGTTTGACAAGATCAGCGGTGGTTCCATCACATAAGGGCCATATACCGCAGACCATTGTGGCTACAACAAAGAAACAAACCATTTCCAGAGCGCCTCTCTCTGAAAAGAAGATCAATTGCAGTATGACTCCCGTATTGAAAGGAAGGTATGTTATGAAGGTCTCCCTTTGTACACTAAGTTATAGCTGAATCATTTGTTCCCTTCCAGTAATGACTGTAGTTTTTGAAATATGTGCTACTTTTTTTCTTTTTAAAGGAAGCTATTTGATGTAAAAAATCAATTGACCAAATCGAAGAAGGTACATTATCTCTTACTTTATGTTGAGTATTGTAGTCATATATCCTGGATATTTTTGATTTAGTGAAAAGATAGAAAAAACACCACCTTATATACTAGATTACACACTTATATGGGAAGCATTTTGCAAATTGATGTAATCAGATTCCGAATATGGTTTTTCAACCTGAGTTTACCTTATTAGTTTTAATGTAGGGAAGTTCAATCTCAGTTATCGCGACCTCAGAAACTTCTGTAGATAAAGAGGTAGGGGTCTTTTATATTGTACTTTTGATTTTGTCTATATTTAGAATTTCAAGAAGTGAGAACACTTTTGGGGGAGTAATCTTGTATTCTTATTTAGGCATTGCATCGTATTTTTGCAGGAAATGTCCGTTTCAAGTGTTACGGAAGTAGCAGAACCTTCAGTGGTATGTAACTCATCCTTCACAGTACTCCTGTATTGTATAATTTGTATTGCTATAGACAATCATTTGGAATCTTCGATTGACGTCACTGATGGTCTATGCAGGAGAATACGTTGTCAGATGCACTGAAGCCTCTGGAACTTACTTCTATGGGTGAAAAGGTAAGGTAGAAGTCTAGAAAAATATATTAGGAGGATTTTGTTTTTATAAGATGTAAATGTTAAAGGTGTGATGGGTGTCAACTGACATTTTGCAGGATAATTTATCATCAGATGCTCCAAAGCATGCAGAAAGCATTTTAATGGCAAAAAAGGTAATGGAAGGTTTCAACACAGAAGCATCATGAGTTGGAATTGTGGAGTACCTTCTTAATGCATATTTCATATTGTTTCCAGGATGTTTCTTTTAATTCTGATGCTCATACTGAGCAACATACTCCAGGTGTCAATAGCCGAAATGACTTCTCTTTACTTGAAGAAGGTTGGTTTCTTATGGTTTGAATTGGCAAACCTCATCTGCAAGATATTGGATGCAAATTGACCTAACAAATCCTAATTTGGTGCTTCAATTGACAGGTCATCATGTTGAAAAGGAAGGCAAGAACTCAGATGTCAATGATGAAAAATCGCCGCCAATAAGTTCAAGATTACAAGAATTATCAAACAATCTGAAAAACCTTCTTTCTGCAACTCCTGTGTGCAAAAAGATATCAGATGCATCAAAAACCGACTGTTCTGCAACTCCCTTATGCATCAAGATGCGAGAGGAGAATGATGCTTCATCCAACAATGTAGAACCGAAAACTCCAGCTAATCAGGGTATGAAAGACAATAGATGTGAGGTTACAAATGTCAACAGCCCTTGGGAAGCGCTTAGTGTGCGTAATTCTGAAGTGAAGGTATGATCTATACCTTATCTTCGTTCTGTTCATGTCTTCAATTTCGTTCCAAGTTCTAATGTTAAACCGTCATTGCAGCATTCTCTTGTTCAAGAATATCTTGGCTTCTTAAATACAGCTAGCAAGTAAGTACATATGCTTTCAATCAGTAGTGTGCTTCATATCCTGTACAAGCCTAACCCTTTCTTCATTTTTTCTACTTATAGGGAAGAATTGAAAAGATTAAAGGTGAGGATCGGTTACTTTTTTTTATTATCATCGCTGTTCTCTAGCATTTTTTGTTTTCAACTTACTTGAAAGTTTACGTTTAGGGGATTGGTGAGAAACGAGCAACCTACATCATGGAACTGCGCGATGAATCTCCGAAGCCCTTCAAGAATGTAAGTATTCTCAAATCCCACATCAGAGATTTTAAAGGACAACAAAACTAGTAGGGGATGGATGTAGTTATATAATGCTTTTAAGTTGGTTTCTAATCCGATGTTGTTTTCTTTGTTTTCAGCTTGATGATTTAGAAGAGATTGGACTTTCGGCTAAGCAGGTATATCTCAGTCGATTTTGAGACTTGTATGGATAATTTGCTTAACATATGGAAGTATCGATGTGTTCAATTTGACGCTGGAATTTCTGTTTTGTTGCACAGATTAAGGGACTGATGAAGAAGGAATTTGGAGGGCTATTCAATTAGCAAATCTAAAATTTGCAGACATCGGAGAATTTATCTCGTTGTAATTTATTTCTGTTTGGAAACATCGGAGAATTTCTCTCGTTGTAATTAGCGAATCTAAAATTTGGAGACATCGGAGATTTCTCACAAGAACAGATAAGTCTTGTTGGCTGGCACTGGCAAAGTATCATATTGTCTTAAACCTTCATGTAATTCGTTTATCGTGTAATACTTTGTACTCTGTTTTCTTGATTCCGCAACTGAAATTTGAGAGGACGGAAAAGGAGGAAACACTGCACATTGCAATCGTACTCAAGCAATTGTTTCTTTACATCTAAAAAATAAACGAAGAAACAAATTCAAACAAATACAACTGAATTGATCCGAAAAGTAACTGATTTATCACCCGCTATAGTGAAGCAAGGCTTGCATTTCTGGTAGTAATCGTTTTACAGGCTTAATACTGTTTTGTGCATTGTTAGAAGCTTTCAGGAGTCGCCATGGCCAACACATGTGTCTCACCCTTCGGTTGTTGCGCTCTCTGCTCTCTGCTTCTTCTACTTGTTTCGTTAGTTCTTCTATACGTGCCCGTAGTCCTGATGCCCTGCTATCGGCCAGCTGCAGGGACCTCTCTGCTGCTGCCTGCGCAGCCATCGCGGTCACTGCAAGTTCTTCCTTCATCTTCAGTTTGCCATTTGATATGTCCAGAGCCGCTTTTGTCTTCTCTAATTCTTGCTTCAGAATGGCGATCTAATGGAATAGCATACCAAAGTGTGAGAGACTAAATTCAAGAACACCAGAAAAGGAAATAAAGCGTAGAACTAAATCCTAGTAAACAATTAAGCAGTAGCAATTACTAACGGGGAGTAGAAACTTACCACTTTCTCACGTTCTCCTATCTCAGTTTTCCCAGCTTCAACTTCTAGCTCGCAAGCTTCTCTCCATCTAGCAACCTCTGCTTCACTTTCCTTTATTTCGATCATGAGTTCTTCAACCTTACAACCATAAAATGACAGAAACAAGTCAGCAAGAAGATGAGTACGCTTTAGGACCGCAAAGCAAACAAACAACGGATTTTTGTTATTGTCCATTACATTTTGAGTTAACACCCTCTCTCTATTTTCTAACTCCTTGATGTACTGCGTGTTTTCCGAAATTTGTTGAGCTTGTTTTTCCGCGAGACTCTGCAAGCGCTCAGTGTCTGACCTGGCATAGAATTGATAATAAGTAATCGACAACTAAATGAACGATGCTCAACATATATAGTACAGTACGGTTATAGTACAAGTATGGTTAGAGAAGTGCTTTCAGTGGTTAGAGAAGTGCTTTCAGAAACTCATATTCATAAAAGGCTTCAACTGTTGACAACTTTTCATCACAAAATATTAGGAATCATACTCAAACAGTTACCATTTCCCTCAACTAACCAACGTTCTCCTTTTTTTTTTCTGAACCGTTCGTAAGAACTAAGAACTGCCATCATTTTGAAATCGAAATCCAAATGCAAATTCAGGTAACTAACACCGAAACAAAGCTTATATCTTCGATAGCTGACCTACCTCACAATCAAAATACAAATGCAAATTCAAATACGAACATAATTCAATGACGAACTACCTAGATTCATCCAGAGATCTTCTCAACTGAGTGATCTCAAGCCGCAGGTTCTTCATGATCTTCTCTACAGTCGAGGCCTGATACGAATAATCAAACACGAAAATACCAACGAGAAATCATGAATTAGCTCAAACAATCAATGACCGAAACAACGAAAAATTGAACTCACCAGACTGATAACCCCCTCTTCACAGTCACTGCCATCCGATTTACTTCCTGCAGTAGACCCTGCACCGTCCAGCTTATCCCCGAATTCTCCGGCGACTGCTCATTGCCCCCACTTCCCATTATAAACCCAAACCCAACTCTCTGCAAAATAGGCACCCGCTTCTGCTCGCTTCCTTTCAACCTCTTCACCACCGCCTCCTTCTCCGCTAGAGCAACCCTAAGCAGGCTGCTGATATCTCTGTTCTCCTCCGTCAGACTCACCACGCTATTCTCCAACTCCTTCTTCTCCTTCTTCCTCAGCTCTTTATACTCACTCACCTGCGCTTCCGCCGAAGCCGTCAGCCGGGCAACCGCCGTAATCTCCTCATAAACCGCCCTCCATTCTGGGTCGGATTCCGATTCCGCACCGGTCCCCTCAGCTTCTTCAGTTCCATTCCCTACTTTTTCGTCGCCGACGCAGTCGATTATTCCGATTATGCCCTCCTTGATCGATCGGAGCGAATCCAAGCACTTCAGCAAAAACCCATCTCTCTCCTTTCTCTCAAGCTCCAATCTTCCAATCGTCTCCCGACAAACTCGCACCTCGTTTTCAATCACCTCCTTCAATTTCAGCTCCTCCTCCAATTTCGAGTCAAACCCATCTTCCTTTTCTCTCAGACAACCTTCGAGCTTCTGAATTTCGTCGCGAAGCGACTCTCTCTCGCCGGAAATTTCTCCGACGACTTTGGTTAGCTCGACGTTGTGAGCCAGGGCATCGTCTCTCTGCTGCCGGATGAGATCAGAGTCTTCCTCCATTGCCGCCGACTTCGACAGCAGGGCCTGGTGCGACTGGCGGAGGGACTCGAGCTCGGCGAGAAGACCATCACCGGATTCGGAGGTTTCTGGGTTGTTCCGCGGATCTGGGCCGTTCACCTGGGTTTCTGGGAGTGCTTCTGTAGGGTTTTCCATGGTCCATAGAGCAGACGATGGCTATAGATCGTCATGAAGTGCGTGACTGATAGGGTTTAACTTTCAGAACTACCAGTCAAAGAAGTGTAGATGGAGAAGGAGAGAAGCAAGTTTGTGCGAGTTTGCGTTTTGGCGCGGGACACTTTCTGATGGGCCAGAAAATTTTGGGCTTTTCTCTGAAACTGGGCTGTTGAAATTGGGCTTTCTGTTGAGTTGACTTTTTAACTCATGTGTTGGTCCGGATTTAGCGCTGCTTCCGTTGAATCGAACTACGACGAATTGTATTAAGTTTATATGCACCAAGGGAGACGACATTTTCTAAGATCCAGTTTAAAAGTTAGTCATTTTTTTTTTAAAATAATAAAACACGTAAAATAGGGGGTTGAATATCCCCAAATGACGGATGAGGATTCTCTTCACATTCTTTTTGTGGGGATCCTAGAGATTCTCACATCATGATCGTTTATCGTACATCATGCAGTCAGTTTTCGTTAAGTACTATTTGTGTTTAATTTTAAATAAATAAATTTAAAATATTTTTTGACCGTACGATGTACGATAAGCGGCTAGGATATAAGAATCCATAGGATCCCCACAACTTGGATACGGATGGGTTCCATCTCCCAAATGACCCCTAGCAAGCCTTAACTTAATAAAAGGACATTAAACCTGAATATTATAAGAGTTTTTTTGAAGTACATTTAAAATGATTGAAAGCGTTTTTATAGAAAATATTTTTGGCAAGTACCTTCTACAAGAAGCACTAGTTATGTGTTTCTTCCAAGATAAGCGCTGTAAGTGTTTTTCCTATGATTTACTTACATTTTTACTAAAAATTAGCTCTAAATACATTTTTACCAAAAGTAATTTCGACCATTTTAAGATCGCTTGCAAAAGAACCCTAAGATTTAAAAGTGAATTTGCTGCCTAAAATATCTGATGCGTTGTTGCAGGTTGGACTTGGAGTCCTCATCAAATGTGTGATTTTTCATACCTGTTTATTGTATTATAATCAGGAGATGTTGAGTGCTTGATGTTATTGGCTTTTGTCTAATCCGCATTAACGTGCTAATCAAACGCGTGTATGACGTAATTAAGGCAAGTCTTTTTTCTTCCCTCGTAATCGTATTCACATGGACAACATGAACGTTCAAAAGCAATAGAAGTGTGATATTCACACATCCATTTTCATCTTTTATATGTTTTTTTAATTTACAACCTTCAGATCGGATAAATTGAAAATAATCAAAAGATATAAATTAACAAAAGATATATAAGAAGTAAAAAAATGTGTGTGAATATCACAACCCAATGAATAAAAAGATTGTAATTGCCATGCAAGTGCACTCTAATTTCATTTTATTAAATTATCTCGTTGGTATGACTTTTTTCTAGTATTTGTCTATTCATCTAGAGAAAGATTGACATATTCCTACTTAATGTGCCCTTTTTATGCTCTTACGTGCAAAAAATGCCCAAGTTTGCAGGAATTCAAACTACTTTATAGTAAATAGATTTTTATTTTAATTATGGACTTTGATTTTCTTTTGGTATAGTTTAATCAAATGACGCGAAAAAAAAATGTGCAAATGAAAAAAGATGCACACAGAATTTTTATTTTTTTTGCTATTTTTAGGATATTGCTGAATTATTTTTCTATATTGCCAATTATTTTTCTATAATGAAAAAAAATATGAGTGTTTGGAGTTGAAAGAGATGGGCTAGTAAGACGGGGGAGTAGGACTTAAGAAGAAAAAACGGTGAAAACGACGGGAAAACAAGTCGTGGCCTCCCAAACCGATCATCATAGTTGACTGGAAGAACAGGCGTAGGGTCATAACTACTAGAAAAAAATGACAAAAAAAAGAGGAAAGCAATAACAAGGGGTTTGCTGCCAACGCCAGCCAAATAAAAGAGTCGACGGCAGGAGGATGGAACTCTGAGTTTGTGCAGGATAGAGGAAAAGAGGGAGCGGATGCTAGGGTTTGCGACAAAGTAGTATTCTTAATTATCTTGTATTTTTACAAAGTAGTGTAAATAGCAAACACTTTGTTCAAACCAATTTACCTAACACACATGTGTACTTACTTCAATCTTAAGCATTGAGTCCATTGACTAAAACTTTCCTTTATTCCAATAACTTTTCTACTTTAACTTTCTATAAAGGCACACATTTTTCAATTTTTCCTCCAAAAAAAATAAAAATAAATAAAGGTGTTAGAATCTCAGACCAACCCATAAAGTAAAGCCGTTTTTGTCACGAAGCAGGCAAGACTAATCCTCCCACCGTACAAATTACCGCGTCTTTACGGACTACAGTCACTCGGTCATGACTGAGTTTTGACTCACTGAGTTCAAAATCTCCCAAACCCGGCATTCGGAATTCCACGAGACTCGGTGGCGGTACTGTTCCGATGGGGAGCGTTGGAGAGGTCGGAGAAGGGCGGGTGTTGTCGGATGTGGAGGAGACTATATTTGTTGCGGTGGGGAAGGACTTGAAGCAGAGCGAAACGACGCTGGCTTGGGCGGTGAAGAACTTCGCCGGGAAGAGGATTTGCCTGCTACATGTTCACAAACCTTCTCTCCTACTTTCGCTGTGTGAGTTCTTTACTCTGAAAGTTTGAATTCGATCAATGTCTTTAGTGTTTTTGAGAAATTAACCTTAAATTGTGTTTGGTTGCTGAGAAAATCGAAAAGAAAATTTAAACTTCGAGGCAATTGTTGTCAATTTAGAGTTATAATTGTGATTTTTGGTACTATTTGCAGCAGAAGGGATCGGTTCTGCTAGTAAATTGAAACAAGGAGCAGTTAAGGCGTTACAGGGAGCTGAGAGGACGAAATTACGAAAGCTTCTAGATCAATACCGAATGATTCTCACCGGAGCGGGGGTAACGGCTTGCTTTTCGTTGTTTTCGAAGTTGTTTTGATAATCTATTATATAGAACTTGCACATTAGTATTCGAAATCTGAATTAGTTTAGGGAGTGTTGTTTTCGTCTTAGGGTGCTTTCTTATGAATGCAGGTGGAGGCAAATGAATTATGGATTGAGATGGGAAATATCGAAGAGGGAATTGTCGAAATAATTGCTCGGCACCATATTAGATGGCTCGTCATGGGGGCAGCTGCAGATGAACATTATTCTGAGTATGCATCAGCGATTATACTTTTAAGGATAATTTGTTTTTTAGTCATGCTACTCTATCGTTGTAGGATTCATACAGCCGACCCCACTTAGTGGGACAATGCTTTGTTGTTGTTCTTGTCATGCTACCGTGTCAGTCCTAGTACTATGTGGGTAAAATAAAAGAAACGTCTTCTTTTACTGGTAAATCTTATTTAATGATGAAAAACGTGTGATCTGTAATGACTTGAAAGACTTGTGAACATGGATAACTGCCACCAATTTAAGTTGACTGACTCATCCTTGCTGCGATTGTAGGAGATTGGCTGAGATAAAGTCCAGGAAAGCATTTTTCGTATGCCAAGAGGCAGCTAGATCCTGTCATATTTGGTTTGTTTGTAAGGGGCACCTCATATATACAAGGTACTGTTTACACCTTTCACAACAACTCATGCATCGGCGGGTTTAAGTTTTTCTTAATGTATTGACAGACTAGCTCGTAATTGTTGTTTTCACCCAAGTAGCTTTCCCTGTTAAGTTCAAACTGTCATTTTCGTAACTTTGTTGCGTTATCTTTATATGTGCTATATTTAATTGCCACTTATATGAAGCACGTGAAAACAGGGGAGATAGAGAAGATGAATCTGAAATAGAAATTGCCCCTCCTCTGCTGCTGATGAATTCAGCTTTTGGAACCGAGCAACCAGAACACTTAAGATCAGAATCAACTGATTCGCTGAGAAATCTGGTAGCCTCACTACCCAGACTGTTTTTTCTCCAGTGAGAAAAATCCGTTTGACTTTTCGTTCTAATTTGAGGTAGTACTAGACAAGTAACTTTGTTACAGAGCTCTGCAGATGCTGAGGAAGATACCAGCGAGTTGGAACAAATATCAGGGAGGTCGACCCCGTTGATGATAGATGCGGTGAGAAAATTCATTCATTGGCACCCTTTGTATGCTAGTACATGGATGATTTTCATTATGCATCATTTACTACTTTGCTGAAATTGTACAAAATTCTTCCTAGAAAACCGCTTAGGTGTGCATGTTTATAGTTTCTGTTTTATGTCCTGAGTTTTGAGTTAAGGGGAACATATTGGGGCAGAGAATGAGCTTCCTTTGAGCTCTGTTAGGCTTTAGTTGTGGAAAAAACTTCTTTTTAAGTCAGTGTGTGCTGTACTTTTCAAACCATTTGATTAGTCTTTAATTGCTTATCTTTACAGGAGGGAGAAGCAAATGGTGAAAGTCATCATAGCGTAGAACAGGCCATTGTGGATACTAAGAACTTAAAACAGAAGGAACTTGAAGAGACAACTAGGCGGTGGAAAGAGGAAGATGATGAGATGGAGGCTAAATGCAAGGTAAAATTTGGAATGGCACAAATTGCTCATGAGTTAAACTGATCTCATTTATTAGCCTGATCGTTTTCTAGATTGTATGTGTCAAACTTTGACCTTTTGGGTTTCTTTACATGCTGGTATTTGTCTGCATGCAATCGTTTTCTAGATTGTATGTGTCAAACTTTGACCTTTTGGGTTTCTTTAGATGCTGGTATTTGTCTGCATGCAGTGTGCATTTGTGCAAGCATGCATATTTTGTTGATTTATGCATACCTACTAATAGCAGATACTGTCTTTCATTCTTCACCAGAAAGTTTGTGTTGTCCATGCCTTCTTACAGGCCAAAGCATTTGAAAGTTTATGCACTAAGGAGATGAGCCAAAGAAAAGAGATGGAAGAAAAGCTTGCTAGATTAAAGCAAGAAATAGACGGGGTGAAGGATGAGAGTGAGGAATTTATAAGACAACTCTCGATGGTTGAGGACAAGAAGTTAGTGCTGGAGAAACAACTAGAAGCATCACAATGTGAGGTAAAGGAGTTAGAGGAGAAAATCATCTCAGCTGCAGGGCTCTTGATGAGTTTCAGGGAAAAACGGGATACAATGAAGATAGAGCATAGAAATGCAATGAGAAAGGTCAGACGGCTAGAGACAATGATAAATGGGGAAGCTGCAAGCTTTGATCAGGCAGAATTCCCTATCTTCTCTTTTATGGAGATCAACGAGGCAACTCACAACTTTGATCCATCCTGGAAGATTAAGGAAGGAAGACGCGGAAGTGTTTATAAAGGGATTCTTCGCCACATGCATGTTGCTATTAAGATGTTGCCTTCTTATGGTTCTAAAACTCAATTGGACTTCGAACACGAGGTAAATCTTATGTTATGTTTTCTACAGTATATATGTGTTATTAGAAAACCAGTGAAACAGCAGTGAATTCATTATTTTGGTTCAATTCCATCAGGTAGAGGTCTTGAGCAGAGTGCGGCATCCAAACTTGGTAACACTAATTGGAACCTGTCCGGAATCCAGGTCACTTGTATATGAGTACCTAAAGAATGGCTGCCTTGAAGACCTCCTTGCCTGCAAAGACAGCACCCCACCTCTTCCATGGCAAATTCGAACGTCCATTGCTACAGAGATATGCTCTGCCCTCATATTCCTTCACTCAAACATTCCTTGTCTTGTCCATGGGAACTTGAAACCCAGTAACATTCTTTTTGATGCGAACTTTGTGAGCAAACTTATAAATTTGGGCATCAATTCTTTGATCCCACAGAACGAAAACCCGACCAACTTCACCAAAATATGCAGTGACCCAAATGGAGCTCATGTGTATATGGATCCAGAGTATCTTGAAACTGGAAAACTCACACCAGAATCTGATGTTTACTCATTCGGGATTATACTGTTGCAACTTTTAACTGCAAGACCGCTTTCAGGATTAGTGAAGGATGTGAAATACGCATTAGAAAATGACAACTTCAAAGCATTGCTGGACGTTTCAGCCGGAGATTGGCCACTAGAGCAAGCAAAAGAGATGGCTTACATAGCACTGAGGTGCTGCGAGAACAAGCGCTTGGATCGGCTAGACCTATTGGTTGCCCACGAGGCAATGAGAGCTTCATGCGCTGCCTCAGCATCGTGCTTGGTTTCCAAGAAGCTTATTCGGACACCATCCCATTTCCTCTGCCCCATCCTGCAGGTAACTTGCATCCATTGGACTCGAATTCCAATTTCCGTAGAATCACTAACTGAACACGAGATGCGATAATTTGCATTTGCAGGAAGTCATGCAAGATCCACACATTGCAGCAGATGGTTTCACATACGAAGAAGAAGCGATACGAGGATGGCTGAAAAGCGGCCACAACACGTCGCCGATGACAAATCTTGAGCTCGAACACTGCAAATTGGTCCCCAATTATGCCCTCCAGTATGCAATTCAACAGTGGCAACTACAGTTGTAAAAATTACTCGCATCTTTACTTCTTTTACTATTTGTATACACAATGACTATACCTGCCTGTTGCATCATTATCTTTAGAAAATGATTTTAGGCCAAAATTAATCACTGATTATTCTTCAGAACCATGAAAATCGGAAGCTCGTGGTCTAATGATACGTTTTTTTTCCTCAACGGAGGAAAATGTTACAGGTTTGAATCTCGTTTATGCCTTTTGATTAAAAACTAACACAACATGAAAACTATAAGAAAGAAGAATCCTTATTTTGGTTACATTGGAGAGATTGAACACGATCTAATTTAATTATAACTCATTCGTTGTCATCATAGTTTAACCTATTTCCAGTGGCTCTAATGTCGTAATTTATCATTGGTGTAAAAACAATTCATACTATCATTTTAAGAAAAAAATTAGAACAACATTTTTCAATTTTTGGTTGGAAAAATGGAATAATCATATGGCGATTAGCAGGAAAGTGATTTTTGCAGTCTTGTTTTGTTAGTTAATTTTTTTTTTTTTACGGTGGCAAATTAGGTTTGTTGTCTGATTGCACTCACAAAAATACCCGGATGTGCTTTGGTGGTCAAACCCGACTCCACGCATCACACTGCATTTGTGAGAAAGCTGCCGCACTACAACAGCCGTACTAAAGTTTCGCTTTTAAATGAGAATGTGAATATCACTATTCTCAATGATCTCAAGTCTTATCTTCTGAACGAGACTGTGAAAATTACTATCCTCGATAATCTCATGTCGAAAAAACAAATAAAAAATCTGAATCCCAATCTTTGTTGATGGGCTGGAAGCCCAATTTTATAATGAACTGAATTCTTCCGGGTACTGTTTGGTACGTGGGACGAGACGGAAGAGAGTGGAATAAGGCGTTTCGTCCCACGTTTGGTGCACTTAAAATGGGTGGAACGAGCTGTTCCACGGGACAAGTTTTGGGTGAATTTTTGTTCCACCTCACCTCCTGGAACGACTCATTCCACATCCGTGGAACACAAAATTATAACCTCTCCGTCTCCTTCTTCTTCCTCCTTGTTTCCATCCGAGGGCATCTTTGCTCCCGCTCCGTTCCGTTCCGTCCTATCCCGTCCCGTCCCGTCCCATTCCGTTCCGTCCTGTCCCGTCTGCATACCAAACGATACCCCAGTGAACCAACTTAAAAAAGAAATTTTTTATTGTGATGAAATATGGATGACACATCATGTGTTTTTATAAAAGTGGTGAAATTTTTTATTTTTTAAGTTATTAACTTTTTAGCACATATATTCCACAATTTGTATGATGATACCACCTTGTATACTGGTCACACTAAATAATTTCTCCAACTTAAAGAAAAGGATCCTCTCTTAATCCTTTCTTCTTAATCCACCAAATCAGTAGATTCATGTTATTGAAATTTGATTTAACGGTTGAAATTATTATAACTTTAAAAAGAACCATTATTAATAGCTGTTAGATCAAATTTTAATAATATGAATCTATTGATTTGGTGGATTAAAAGAAAAGGAAGCAGAGAGAATCCCTTTCCCCAACTTAAGGGTTAAGGCTGTCAATCTCTCAATTCCCAATGCCACCCCTTCACTCTCTCCCTCAGCGCGTGAAACAAACCCTACCGTCCTCCTCTCCTATGTCGTAACTCAATTTTATTCATTTAATATATTTATTTTATTTTATTTTTTCCTTATACTGCAGAGGGGTTCCCTTCCTTCTCTTCCATTTCTCGCCCTTATATTTTCTCCTTGCGAACTCTCTCACTCTCTCCGTTCACCATCGGCTCGTCAATTTCTTGCATTTTCTTGGCCATTTTCCTTCCCGCCAAACACTCCGAATCTCCCTCCCGCCTGCTCCGATTCCCGCAGATATCCCGACGTCCTCCCTGTTCTTGAACCGATCTCTGCTCGCGCCTCCACTGGTACGTAAACCGATTACTCCCTCACTTCCTTCTCCCCCATACACACACACACACACACACACACACACACATTTGTACGTATAATATCATATATCGATCACAGATCACGTGTTTCCATACCTTTCCGAGCTTCTCCGAATTCTTGCTTTTTGAGTCTTGATTTTTTTTTTTTCAATTGAATTGTTTCTCTGTTTGATAGCTGGAAAAACTCTGTATCTGTTCAATGAAAAAGAGAAAACCTAGAGATTTCGAATTATGTGTATATATATTTATGTATGTATTTGTGGTGTATGTGAAATCGTTAATGGTGTAATTTCAACTTAGCTAAGTGAGGTTTACAGCGTCTCTGATCAAGCTTGGTTTTGCATGTTTATGATTTCAAGTTCCGGAATGCCTATTCTGTGAGATTTATTGAAGTTTCCCTTCCTTTTAACATTGGTTTCAATTTCCCCTCATATGTTCAGTTCGCCTACTCTTGATTTCATTTCAATTTCGTTGTATGATTATGTTTCTATAACGAAGTATATGGATATATGTTCGTTGGATGCGGAGGCGGAGGCACTTTTCGCTATGCATTCTTTCTGGTGGATCTGTAATCCATATATGTTTACGATATAGAATTTTGTAGGTTTTCACATTTTTTGTTCCTTCCTATTTTGTAATGGTAGCTTTTTCATCAGATTTCATGTTATTCTTCATTGTTTAAACTATGGGTCTTTTCATGGTTGTTTCTGTGGTGAAAATAATTAAGTTACACGAACTTTGTTTGTCGGCTGGAAGTTCTAATTCCTCCTTGCATTACTAAGTTCGGTACAACACGTTTCATATGATTGTGGCTTCTTTAATAATATCGCACATTGTCGGACTTATTAGACACGTAACTTGTTTTGGAAATAAATCTATTTAGCTGTAATGCAGATGAAACAGGATGATTTTGTTCCCTGAGCTTGCTTTCTATTGCTACATCCACTTTAGATGTGGCGTATTTGTGCCTCAATCCAGTTCAATTGAATGTCATTTGGTCATTAGATGTTTACCTTGTTTTTATTTGTCCTACATTTTTTGCAGAGACATCTGGCGCTCTAGTGGATTTGTATTTCTGATGTCAATTGCAAAACCTACGACCTCAGACTCTCTGTATGCTATGAAATCAGGGGAGGAAAATGATTCCATTGACACTATCATCAGACAAGTTGCGAAAGAGCCATCTATTTCTTTCTCAAGGGCCGGGGATAGCCCAGTCCCGTGGATTCAGCTACTTCATGCCTTAGATCAACAAGGTACTGGAAACTATAGTGTATAATACAACTTTATTTGATTATAGAAGTAGTGAACCATTAGATTGATTTTTGTGCCATACCTAATGGGGAGTATCCTGAGTTTGTTTTGCCTTTCTCGGTCCACTGCTACGGCCAATGGCAGTTTTAATATTTGTATTATATGTCATAAGAAGGCAGTTTGGTTATAAGTGTTTGATGGCACATGTTACTTCTGGCAGAACTTCCAGGTTGGCCTCTGCACTCTCCTATTAAAGTGCAAATGCAAAAGTGTGACAAATGCCCACGAGAGTTTTTCTCATCCATCAACTACAGAAGACACATACGTGTACACCATCGGTTGAAAAAGCTTGATAAGGTGTCCCTTGTATTTTAAACTGTTATAAATTTGTCTATTGCTTTTCTGTGTGTTGCGACTGTGAGCATCTTTTGCCGTCCATCGTGTTCAGAATACTTATTTTGTTTAAATCTTGTAGGATTCTTCTAAAAATAGGGAGCTTCTACGTGAATTTTGGGACAAGGTAAAATTTATTCTTTGAATACTTTATGTTAGGGCTACCTTCTTCTTAGTGTATGTGCAGCTCAATCCTTCCTTGGTTTGGTCTTTGTCTAGCTCTCGCCAGAAGAGGCAAAAGAAGTTGTATCATTCAATGATGTGACTTTAGAGGTATTTTCTGTTATTGCCTGTGTTTTTATGGCATGCATCATAAGTTCTAATCATGTACCGCGGTATGCATGTTGTGTATTAACTGACAAATGTTCCCCTCTAATGCTTAGATTCATCACACATGAACCAAAGTAGGACAGTAATGTGTTTTTATCCTAACTGATCATAGTTTTGAATTGACCATGATCTGTTCTTCGCCCCTTCCTCCAATTAATTTCTAGCAGGGCTTCATTTTTTCCAAAGAAATTGTTACTTAAGTGCAATCATTTGAAAGGAACTGTTTTTAAAGGAGATCTCCTAATTTAATATATTTTATAGGAAGTTCCAGGGTCTTCAATTATAAAGGCATTGACAATTCTTATACGGAAACCGGGATTTTCTTCTTTGCCCCACATTTGTTTGAAGGCTGGTTCTGCCCTTCTGGTAAGACATTATTCTTTTTCTTGCGTATGAGTTTTTATTGTAATGAACTGCCACATTGCCTGTTCAGTGGATATGATATGTTTAATTCTTTTCTTTTTATCCAGGATATTGTTCAAGCTAGACCTTCCAGGTTTCCCATATCATCCCAGGAGTTATTTTCTATCCTCGATGATGCAAGTGAAAAGACGTTTCTGTGTGGGACAGCCATATCAATGCAGAGATATGTTTTTGATGGGGAGGCTGGGAAAATTGGCCTTGAATCAAAAAACTTAGTTGCTTGTACAAGCTTCCTGGTGGAACAGATATTGGTAATTTTCTTGTTTCCTTTCCATCTTTTTAATACAGTTGATTTTACTCTCTTAATCGCGTTTAAACTCGTGGTGATTTTTGCTCAGTTGAAAGCCTGGCATGCTGACAAGGATGCGGAAGCTTTGAGGTTACAGAAGTTGCTAGTGGAGGAAGAAGAAGCTGCTCAAAGAAGGTACACAACAAGCCTTTCTATTTGATTTTCAGCACATTTCGGTTTTTTTATTGTGTTGGTGGGAGGATTTTCAATGCCTCTTTATATTCGGCACTCTGTAGAGTATAGACCAGCATGACTGGGTAATCTGTTGCCTGTTGTTTTTTATCAGTTGCATAATCTATTCGGTCTTGTTTTCTGAATAACTGTAGGCAAGAAGAGCTCTTGGAAAGGAAAAGGCTGAAGAAGCTTAGGCAGAAAGAACAGAAGGAAAAGGATCAAAGACATGGGGAGAAGGTTGATGTTAAGGAGAACATTGATGAAACTCTGGAGGCTGTGCCACTCGTAGAAACATCTAGTCCTTCAGCAACATTTGATTCTGACACGGCCAGTTCGGATGCGCTGGATCATGCCCGCTTATCACTTGAACCATTCCACTTCTCAAATACGGGTGAAAATGCAGATCTCGAATCTCAGACTGGAGTTAGCTTTGGACATGTTGATTCGGCGAGTGGACCAAATGTTGAAAGGCAGCTGGTGCAAGGAAATGGTAGTCGGCGTGCAGTTGCTCGATGGCACATGTCTCCAAAATCACGGCGGGGTGTGCCCAATCGATTTCATGATGGCCATAGTTCTCAAACAGTGAAGCATTCATCCATCCAACACCACGGTAACCACAGGGATGTAAGGGCTGCTTCCAGTGGCAATAGAGTATGGAGTCGAAAGCCTAAACCAGAATATGATGGGGGGAGTTTGAAAGCTGGAGTACAGAAAGAAGCATCTGAACCAGATCAAATCAAGAACCATGAGGTTTTGATTGGTTCTATACCAGTCAATCTTGGAAATTTTTGCCAGGAAAGTAATAATCTGGCTGGTGTTCATGATGACCGTCCTTCGGAGAAAGGTCAAATGCTAAAGGACAATTCTCAGGATAAAACCAATAAACCTGATCTGGTACAGAGTGGTACAAACCGGTCAACAGTGAAGCTTTGGAGGCCAGTGAGCTGGAATGGAACAAGAGGTCCTACGCCAATTCATAATGGCAGCAAAGAATCTGACATAAATGTGGTAGCTGAAAAGGGCAACAGCCAAAGCCCTTACAGTGAAAATTGTAAAAGATCGTGTGTTGTGGATGGCCATAATGATGGAAACGGGAACGGCTCTACTCACCCCGATGAAACACAAAGCCTGGGCTTCTCTAGCCGTGCGGCAGAAGATTTTCTTGCTCAAAGTGAGTTCAGCTCCATTTTGCATCTTGTTCTATTTTCTCTTTTGTACAAGCAGCTCCCAGTTAAAGTAAATTAACCCTGAAATACAATACAATAAGTACATGTCTTGTTTGTGCAGGGTGGAAGGAGGCTATTGCTGCAGATCATGTGGAATTGGTTCTATTCCAAGACTCTGAACCTCCCAGATGCCCAGACAATCAAAATGACGGTGAAGTAGGAGCGAATCATTCGTTGAAGTCTAAACGCAGCATTCTTGGCAATGCAGAAAACAGGCTTGTAGATGGGGAGGCATTTGATTTGCCAACTGCTGGAGCTGCTAAAGTCAGGCGCAGGACGAAGCAGGACAAGGGTGTGAAGATTAAGTACATTCCGAAACATAGCACAGTTGCCTAGTAATAGAGGGTAAAGAGATCGTTTTTCTTCTTTTTTTGGGGGTTATACAGCATGCACAGTTTAGCCAATGATTGTATTCTTAGCAGCAGAAGGGTCCAGTTTTACCAGCGGTCTTCTGTCAGAAAATCGAAGAAAAAGTTTTGGAAGATAAGTTTTCTTTTTTTTTTTTTTTTTGTTATAGTTCCCTCCTTTTCTCTTTGTCATAGCAGATTGATTAGAGTAAGATTCTTCTTCTCTTTGGCAGAAGTTTCTGTAATGAATTTGATTTTTTGGTTTGAGCCGTCATTGTCCGTTGCTATGCATTGTTTGTACCGTCTTGATGATGTCGTCAACGAGACCGACAGACCAAACGAGTTGGTTTGTGAAGGTTGCATTTGTGATGTCATTTCAGGTTACAGCATTTGAAGTTGTAAAGGGTGAGATATTCTCTCTATATTTTTGATCAAATTCGATTGTGTAAACTTCGCAATCGACTGAATTTCCTCTGTTTTCGGGCTACCACATGGGCTACAGGTGACCAATTTCCATGGGCCAAGCCAGTTGGCCCAGAAGATTGCACCTCCCCGGCGCCTCTTCTTGCACAGCCTATTAACCTTGCTTTTTGCTTTTCAGCTTAACGAGAAATCATATTAGTCACCACCAAGTAATCATAATGTCACGTGTTAATCTAACTATACGTAATTTTGTGTTATTAAATCGAGACGTTACAGTAGCTGTGTATCCGGTCCATCCATATCCTTCTGGTACTAATGTATATTACAACAAATTTTGTTTTTATAATTAACAGTGCTGGCATGCTCAGATCTTTACCACAACAATGCCATCCTATAATCAAATTATTTCGTGGATTGGATTTCACTTGATTGTCTACGGCTCAGCCACTTTGACTTGGACAAAAGCATTTAAGATATAAAATCATGTCCGCTCCCTCTCCTGTCACCAAAACCTGTTTCCTGAAATCCCTATTACACTGCCACCTGTCCACCCTCCCCACCTTATGCTTTTTACCCTATCTTCTTCCTTTCTCCCCATCTTTTCCTCTTTAACTCTCTAACCTTCTCCACTCTCTCACAACTCTCTCTGCAACCAAACCCTAACCCTAACCCTACTCTGTTTAATCAACAGAAACGCAGAAAAAAATGTCAGGTGGGGTTGGTCCAACCTGCGGTGACATCAGCCTCCCCAAAGAACAAGAACATGAATTCAAAGAACACAACGACGAAACCTCCTCAAAACTCAGCTCCCACCAAAAGTCCCCAACTTCACACTCCACCGCCACCGCCTCTCCGCGCAAAGCCGGTGGCGGTCTGTTCTCCTTCCGGCAGCTCAACGCCCTCGCCGTCGTCGTCGTCCTCTCCGCCAGCGGCATGGTAAGCCCCCAAGACTTCGCCTTCGTCTTCTTCTCCGTGATCTACATGCACATCATCTCCAAAGTTGCTTTCCCCATCCTCGGTTCCTCCAGAGACCCCACCGTTTTCAACCCCAAAAACAAAGTCCTCCGCCTCTACGTCCTGACCGGCGCCGTCATCGGCCTTCTGCTCCCCATTGCCTACATTTTGGAGGGCATTTTCGAAGGCGATAAACAGGCATCAGCGCCGCTTCCCCGCACGTTTTTCTCCTTGCCAGTCAGGTGTTCATGGAAGGAATGGCTTTTGCCGACCGGTTTTCGACGCCCATACGTGTCTTCGTGCCGGTTTTCTACAATTCCAGGCGGATTTTCACCATCGTGGATTGGCTGAGGAGTGAGTTTTCCAAGGAGCATGAGGAGTACGGTGGATCTGCAAAAAGATTGTATGTGGGGAGAGGGCTTGCCATTGCTAATATGGCGTTTTGGTGCTTCAATTTATTTGGGTTCTTGCTGCCTGTCTATCTTCCTAGGGCTTTCAAGAAGTACTACTCCGCCCATAAACTGAAAGATTATTGATCTTCAATGTACTAATTTCTTCTTTGTTTTCCTTTTCGTTTCTTAATGTCAAAAGAAAAATAAATGAATAAAAGATCTGCATATAATGTGAATTTGATTAGAGAAGAATGTGAATTTAATGAATACTACTTTGTCTCTTTCTTTTTAAAAATGGGGATCAGCAGTTGACTTCGACACGGCAATCCACGCATTTAGTTTCAGAAGACGGTATTTCAGCCTTCATCTAACCACTATCGTGTAATTCATCAGCGTCAAAAATTGAATTCAAAACTTGAAATACAGGCCTGAAATTTTTCCTAACCACTTGAAAAGGCATTGGTGCTTGAATGTTTTTTATAACGTCAGCAAACGAGGAAAAACTTGCATGCATCAATTTCTAAGGTCTCGTGTTCACAACCTTATATATGAGAAACTGATTTCACAAAATGGTTTCATGAAACAGATGCATGCAAGTTCTTCGCTGTCATTGAATCCGCTCTGTGAACCAAAGATGATATATGGCTTTCCGACATATTCAAAACGACCATATTGTACAAGGTTTTTGAAATAACCTTTATTTTTCATTTCAATTTCATTACATCAACTGAAAGCACTTGCAACTTCTTGCAAGACTCTACAAAAGCCAAATGGGGCCTTATATATGAAATGAAAAAGAAAAGGTACATCTGCAAAATTCGGCATCGTTTCAAGTAAGTACAGGAGGCAGCCGCCATCAACGGCGGCTCAAGGAAAAACAGAGCAACGTATGCTCTTCATGAATAACCACAAAAGAGAACATAAGCAATGAGGAAAACTATGCTCCCTAATGTAGCCTCTGAGTTCCTCTCTTTTTTTTTTTTTTTTGACATCTGTTCGTTTCCTTTCTTCAAAATGGAAGATGCCCATAGAACGAAAATTGCATTTGGTGATGGAAAAATCAAACAAATATACTCACATGCCGGCAACACCAAAAACACTGCTCTCTCTTCTAAGCTTGTGTAGCAGCTAACCCCATCGGTAGCATCTGTTCCAATCGCTCAAGCTGCTGGACATTCTGATTAAATAGCGCTCTCTGGTAGATCATTATCTCCTGTCCAAACCTGCAAATCACCCGGTAACTCTGTCAGTCTAACCAATTTGCACCCAACCTAGTCTCCCACTCACTCAATCACTCTCGATATCAGAGGATGTATTGGGACATACTTTTATATCCATGTGCAGAGCCATTGCCGTTGATATTTATTGGTGCAAGTCTCCTCTCTTGACCTAAAGATAAAATTTCCTGCATCCTTTCTGGCCAATCTGAATTTAATCTTCGTGCAAAATCCTCCACTTCCCTACATAAAGCATATAATATAAAGGAATATAAGACAAACAGTCTTGCAATAATCATAAAAATTTGTAGATTCGACTGAGTAACCGTGGAAGGGGATATTTAACAGCGGCAGAGAGTAATTTCCGTGTTGTTGAGACAATGGTCAGCATAATTCATATAAACAGTTAAATATTAGCATTGAAATCATTCTTTTTAATATGCTCTACAAATATTACCTGTCAAGCTCTTCTTCATGGCAGGATCTAAATCATCATCCAAATCACCATCATCAAAGTCAAGCTTTGGTGAAAAGGTAACAGACGTAGAATCTTGCAACTTTGAAGAACTGGGAGACGACAACTCAACATTGATTATGTCACCATCGTGGGAAGCAGAAGAAAGTGCATCCAAGTCCTAGAAATGTAGATAAAGACAGAGAATTCACAAACAAGTTCTGACACATGCAGGAAAAATTCACTAGCATACTATATACACGAACATACATAAGTGTGTGCTGTGGTGAGCGAGAGAAAGAAGTACCAACCTTATTATGTCCATTTACATTGGTTGAAGAATCTTTTGGATGATCTTTTCTTCTTCGATTTTTCTTTTTATTCTTATTGGTCTTAATCCCCTTTGCTTCTGCAGAGTGTATCAGATTCTAGTAAGTTGAGAGTAGATGATACTTCATTAAGTATCCATGATACTGAATCTACTAACTGAAGTACCTATAAAAAACTATGTAAACCTTAAAAAAAAAAAAAAAAAAAAATCTGCTCCTTGTCCATGGAGCAAAAGTAGGGATGCCAATAACGTTCAACAGAGTGGTCCTTTGAAGCAAAATCCCTTAAAAAAAATTATCTATTAAGAATTTGAGAGCCAAACATACTACAACTTCAAACAGCAAAAGTTGGAAAAAAAAAAAAAATCAATGTGTGAGAACAAAGGCAGAAAACCAGGATAAAGAGAAATAATTTCTGAATCATACCTCTATTTCCACCATTTATAAATGTCAAGAGATCATCAACTGAACGCTCATCAACACGCTCCTCCTCAGCCTCAACATTCTGAAACAAATAAATAAATTTCTATTAACGCGATCATATATGCACAGGTTTTAATGCTTCAACCCTCCAACTGCATCATTACATTTGTGTGTACTTTGCACACAACTCAAGTAATAAACATTGTGGTATATAAATTTACCACATATATTGCATTAAACACATGGTAAAGGCTTCAAACTCTTCAAGTAAAAGTAAGCACCTTCAGTTTCTCTCTCTCTTTTAATTCTTTCCTCTTTTTAGCATATAACCGATTAAGAAGCCGGATACGTGGATCATCAGTTATGTTCCTCAGAGGTTCCAACTTCTCCTCCTGAATAACCATATATACATGAAAACCGTGGATGGAAGAAAAAAAGCCAATAACCTTCGATAGTAACAAACCTCTGTGAGGTCATCAGGTAAATGAAATGTCTCGCGTATCTCCTCGGGTGTTTTTCCTTCAATAATTCGAGCAAGTGCTCGGCTGGTGAGATCAACCAAAGGCTTCAATTGGAGGCTGTCAGCAGCGGATGTCAACTCGCATAACTTTTTTGTATCCATTCGAATAAATTTCTCATCAAAAATTTTGCGCTCCTACACATGATAACAATACTATCAAACACATAGATTACTTCTGACTTCACCATATACATGATGAAGATGGATAAAAGACTATCAAAACCACCCCTTTTTGGGCCACATAAGGGGTAACAATACTTTCTCCAAGTTTTTTACTTTTACATAAGCTTCTCACTGTTGATTGCCAATTGGAAATTAACATCATGTAAGAACAGAAAAAGAAACTACAAGTGGTAGAATCATATATCAGACCTTATTAGAGCGACCAGGTACTTGATGAAACCGACAGTAGTCGAGTATTAAGCCCAAAATGGCAGGATTAACTCGTTGAGGAAGTGATATAGCATAGTTTTTGGAAGATCCCATTCCTGTTTGCAATATTTCTCGGCATATCATGGGACAGAACATGGCAACCTCTTCTTCTACTTGTTGGATTGAGCCGTCAGCAGTTTGAAGCCAGATGTAAGATTTCATCTATTTGCACAAACATAAGGAAAATTTAGAAGGGATTCAAAAGAGAAACACAACTAGTACTCCTATATCAATCTTAGCTTGAACTACCACATATGCAACCCACAGAACCAATAACCATAGGTGTAGCAGTCCTAGTCACTAGCTTATATTTCATTTCTACACTGCTGAAACCCTTAATAATTAATATTCAAATCTCCTAACATGAAATACCACTTGAAGAAGAAACTTATTCCGACCATTATGCACAAGCCCTGGCTACCAAAGAAACTACAATTTTCCATAGATTCCACCAAGAGTTCATCCAGAAACCAACTAATTTTTTTACCATGAATCTATACCTATACATTTCCCATCATACTCAAGTGACAAAGGACCCTTAAATATACATGTGCTGCTGAAATCATAAACTGTGAAAACAAAATGTAAATAATCTAACTTATCTAAATTACCATTTGTAATTCATCAGACAATGAAGTAGCATACCTCAGGTTTGACAACCGCCATGACACCTTCTGACATTTGACAGCGACACCACAACTAACTGTCAGACGAGGTGAAGCAGAAACCACCTTTTACCTCCACTAAAACAAGTAGTTACAGGGAAAATGGACCTTTTCCTTATTCAAAAGCTTGACTTGATTAACTATGCAAAAAATAGTTATCAGTGCTTCCCAAAATGATACAATCTTGAATCCCAACAAAATGTGTATTAGCATTCTTATCTGGAGAGCTTTATCAAATATTTTTCCTGTATTCAAGGTAAAACACAATAAGATATGGGGAACAAACAAGAGATGATAGGCCTCAAATTCCAAGACAAACATTCTCATTAATTATTTATTCTAATTCAACTATAACAGTTAACAGCGGTAACTGTAATATAACAAGAAAAGGAGGAAGTATATTTATGGAGGATTTCACTGGAGCTTCTCAATATATCTGTGTGCATAAAGGGGAAGGAAAGATGAGAAAATATTACAATGCATGAGCGATATTGACGAGCAGATAGACTGGTTGTTACCTAAGGGAGCAGATCGGCTTGGCCATGACAGTATGTTCCAATTGTATTGGTTTTCACTTGTTCTTATTCACTTTATACCCTTAAATTCTCATTCAACATACAATTTATGAATAGCCTGTCTAGAACCATCTAGGAGGTTGGGAAAGTTGAGAAAAACTGAGTTTCACACTAGCAGCACAAAGCTCAATACTCAACACGAGACGAACATATTAAAGATTCAATGATAAATACAATACAAAATAGCACTTAATATGCATAAACCAACATTCAGAACTCAATGTAGTATTCGAGTCTGCTGAAAGAAACAAAGGGGCAATATGTGCAAGGGACACAACTTGGAAGCCTATCTATTGAGTTCTTCAATCTCCATGACCCCATATGAAATAAGCACGAAAAGAGAAAAGTGTAATGCAACCAATTGGTTGAGTAATTCAGCAAAAAAAAATTGAAAAAGTTAAGAAACAGTTGGGTTAGCTGGCCAAGAAGATGTGAGATTACAAACCATGTCAAATGGTTGCCATTTGCTAGGAAACCGAAAATCCGAATTCCGGGAAATTCAAACGACATTTCAGATTATAAACCATGCCAAATGGTTTTCAGAATCCAACCCAGTTTCCATTTCCCATCAAGTAAAAATCTTTAACTTCCATTGTTGATAATTCCACCTCACAACTAACAAAATCCTCATCAACAGTAATATTTCTATACAAATTAAATTTAGGGTTTATTTATATGAAAAAAAAAAAATCAAACCACAATCCCATCAAAAAAAAATCTATCGATTTCACAATCCTGAATTGGGGAAAATACAATTAGCAAAAGTTGCATGCATAAATCAATACCATATGAAAATTTTCAATTGGAGAAAGGGCGGTAAGCGTACCTCAAATACGAGCTGAAATGCATGGAAAATTGGGAGATGTGGGAGATTTGGGGGTGGGGAGCTAGGGTTTCTGGAAGGCTTTCTGTTCTGCTCTTTCTGTGTGTTCCTGTATCATTTCTCTACTAGCTATCACGATTTGGAGTCTGTCTGTGTGCGGTTGTGTTCGGCACGTGACTCTATCGAAGAAGGAGGCGCCCTCGCACGTGCTGATAGCTAGGGTTTCGGACTTTGGGTGGAGGAGGGGATTTGGCCCGGTTGGCGTTTGATCGGGTCGGGTTGTGAGATGTCCAGTACGACGTGGGTTGGGCGAGGTTTTGGTTAAATGGGCCACGACAAGCAGCTAATATGGGCCACTCATCGGCCCACAATGATGTTTCCCCTTGTGACAAGCAGTTAAATAATTTTACTATTAATTTTATTGAAATATTTTGTGAAAAAACATTATACATGTCTTGTTATGTAGATCTTAAAATGTAACTTGTGGAAAATTACGTCTCTTTAAAATTTGACATAGTACCAATGTTGGCCGATAACTGATCTAGATTTATTCGGAGCAGAAAACCCTAGAGTCTAGAATCGAAAATAGACACTTCCAATCTTCAGCTTGGTTTGTTTGTCTAAATTTTTTACAAGAATGGGAACGAACCAAACTGAATAAATCTTATTAGTTTGGTTTTCACTTTTAAAGATGATCTGGTACGAACTGGACCATGTCCAACCTACTAAAAATGTTACGGTATCAAACAATTTCAACAAACTATATCAATAAATAACAACCATATACAACGCATTGAAGTTTGCTAAAAAAAGATTAAACTCAAATCACAAGATAAACCCAAATAAACAAATCATAAACAACAAAATTCATTTCGATCTTATCACTTTGGTGTATTCAATGTGCTTAAATGCATGTTGAAGAAATGGTACATACCCAATAACACTATTATTTACCAAATTGGTGAATAAGGCGGTGATGATATTTTTGGTTTTTTTTTTTAATAAATAATATTATCCATTAAAGAGGTAGGAGAGCGGGCCTACTCCACAATAAGCTAGCGGTAATGTGGTTCAAATTTACATTTAATAAGAATCGAACCTAAGACATCTTACTTACAAAGAATAAAAAATATCTTTGATAATTAAATTGACCTTTCCAAACTTTGTGATCATTCAAAAGTGAGGAGGACGACATAACAGGCTAAAGAGGCTCCCCGCAAGCAACCACCACCAAAGCAAATATAAGAACTTCACCAAAACTGCCACTAAAAAGTCACACTTTCTCATCTCTTTGAGTGCAGAGACAGAGAGGATGTGGTTCTTTAGAGGAAAAGGGCCATCCGGGTTCTCGTCGTCGTCCACAGCAGAAGAAGTTACTCAAGGGATTGATGCCACTGGTCTCACCGCCATTGTTACAGGTGAGGGAATTTCCATTTTCTTCTTCGTTTTGGTAATACGTAGATTTTTCTTTACTGTTATTTTGCCCTTGCGTCGAAGGTTGAATTTGATTGGATAACTTAATAGAATTCTGCATGGTGGTTAATTTAATATGTAGTTTTGTACTGTGGGGTCCATTTCTTGCTCCATGTTATTCGACTGTTATCAACAATCTGATCTTTTGCACCAAAATTTGAACCTTTCAATCAAAATCTTTGGTCACTGGGATTAACCTGCTGTTTTCATTAAACAAATCCAAAATTATACTATGATTACTGGGTTTGTTTTGACACCTGAGTCTTGGCAAAACGAAAATGTTACTCTTTTGTAACTGAAAGGTGATGGGTTGGAGTCGTGAAAATAGCATCTTCGCAAAGCAATGATAAGACTGGGTATATGGACATTCTGCCAAGTTCCCGATCCCGTACAACGAAGAGTCTTGTTGGTTTGGGTTCCCCTTTACTGGGTTTGTTTTGCCTTTAGGATATATACGTGTGTATATATGCTAAGGATGCGCAGCTGTTAAAGTTATTCCATGTTCTTATGGTAAAATTTTCTTTGGCTCTGCATACTTTTGTTGCAGGAGCATCGAGTGGTATTGGCACTGAAACTGCACGCGTTCTTGCACTGCGCGGTGCCCATGTGGTTATGGCAGTGCGGAATGTGGCTGCCGGTAAAGATGTAAGAGAAGCAATAGTGAAGCAAATTCCCACTGCCAAAGTTGATACCATGGAAATGGATCTCACTTCCTTATCATCCGTGAGAAAATTCGCATCGGATTTCAAGTCCTCCGGACTTCCTCTCAACATCCTAATGTAAGAAAATGGGTAGAAAATTGCAGAAGTTGTTCTTTCACATTGTCTCATCATGTCCAATAGAACTCCTGTGTGTCTCTTGAGCAGGCTTAGTTGGTAATTGTACTTGTTTTATCATTAAGTAACAATGCAGGAGTTATGGCAACCCCTTTCTTGCTTTCTAAGGACAAAATCGAACTTCAGTTCGCGACAAACCACGCAGGTATGTTGCATTTGTTAGACCGTAAATCTGACTACAAAAGTGTTGTGAGTTTTAGGCTGCCCTAATTCGCTGAACGTTTTGTGATTTTGCAGGTCATTTTCTTTTGACAAACCTTTTGTTGGATACTATGAAGAAAACAGCACGCAAAAGCAGCAAACAAGGGAGAATTGTAAATGTGTCCTCAGAAGCTCACCGCTTTCCATATCCTGAAGGAATTCGTTTTGATAAGATTAACGACCAAGCAGGGTAACATTGAGACAATCCTTATCTTCGAGATTGTATATTTGTGCACTGCGTTTCCCTTTTTCTTTGTAGCATACGCTGAAAGGAGAGTTCAATATAAGTTTAATCTGAGTTTGTGACTGCCTATCTGCAGGTACAGAAGTTATCTTGCATATGGCCAATCAAAGCTTGCTAACATTTTGCATGCTAACGAGCTTGCAAGACGTTTAAAGGTGTATCGTCTTCTCCCAGGACCCGAGTAAAATGAATTCGACAATATTTCAATGATTTCGGAGTTGATGAATGGCCTCTTGAAATCGCATTGCAAACTTTCAAGCACTTTTTCATATATTAATATCATAGTTCTTTCTCTAATCCATGAACGCTGTTATTTGTGATTGTTTCTTCAACACAGGAAGAAGGGGCAGATATAACAGCAAACTCACTTCACCCTGGAGTAATTGCTACCAATCTTTTCCGTTATAACAGCGCTATTAACGGTAATCACTTCACTAAATGTGAGTTTATAGCTGATGTTCGGATACATTTTACGCTGTAGAAGGCAAGTATGTGCTTGGTTTCAGATGTTTGGTCTTCTGGTTTGGTGCAGGGCTTGTTAACGTGCTTGGTAGAGCTTTGCTTAAAAATGTTCAGCAGGTAAGTTACCCCTGGTTGAACTTGCAGACCAAATAAATGACAGTGAAACTAAATCGAAGTGTGATGAATTTCAAAAACTCTCTTTCAAATGTAGAATCCCGTTGTTTATAAACTTTGTCGATTGCAGGGAGCAGCAACGACGTGCTACCTGGCACTGCATCCGCAAGTCAAGGGGGTGACCGGCAAATATTTTGCCGATAGTAACCTATCCAAGACAACTCCACAAGGGCAAGATGTGGAGATGGGAAAGAAGCTATGGGATTTCACCATGGATTTGACTAAATGAGAGAGAGAGAGAGAGAGAGAGAGAGAGCCACTTTGAGGCTGAAAAGTTTACAAGGTGAATGATAGTATCCAATAATGTTGTGAATCAGAAGTTGAGAGTATTGCTTGAAGGTGAATAAACTCCCTTTCTGCTTGAAACCCCGTGGTTTTGATTCGAGATTGCTTTTTGTTTGATATCTTTGTATCAAGTTCAGAAATTTCATCTTCGAAACAAAATCCTGTCGTTTAGGAAGAATTGCTCAGATACCAGTAAGTGAGGCTCTTTTAGGTCGTGTTATAAATGTATTGGCTAAACCTATTGATGATCGGGGTGAAATTTCATCTTCTGAATCTCGATTAATTAAGTCTCCCGCTCCTGGAAGGACGGATGACAAATTCACGACAGTCGTTACGAAAAGACCGGAAAAATTGAAGAGGGATAAGAGAGAACCGTGCAGTTAGATTTCTTCATTTCAGTTGAGTGATGATGTACAGTACATACATGATGACGATACAACAAAACAGGTAGTACAAGACAGAATTATACAATGTTACATGAGCCCACAATAAATCAGTGCAGAAAACAGAACGAGCAGGCTTCAAAAATCTCCGGCTGACCATTCCGTTAACAAGTCCGGTCCCCGGCTAGTCGCCAATCTTCTGTACAGCAGTTTCAGACCCAAAAAATTGTTCCGAAGCTAAATAGTATTTGCCTCTTAGCCTTTCTTTTCTCTATATGAACATCTCAGAAAATATACAAATTCTTGCTGCCTTGAGTTTCTTCCTTACCAGGGGAACTGCAATGGATCGGATCATCAGAAGCCATCTTCGTGGACCAAAATCAAGCATATTTCATAGCTCCAATCAGTCAAGCACTCAAACTTCCTACAAGTCTAAACCACATCACGTTCTATGTACTACAAGAGTGTTATGTCGTCAGGATGTGAGCTCGATATGCATAATTCCAGAATCATTCCCTCTCATGGCTTAGCTTACCGGATGTTATGAGCTGAACACTAAGCCATGCAAAAAGAGTTGTCTGCTTCCAGCCACTAACTTTCCGGAGCTTCAACATTATTCCACAGTTCTTATTGTACAAAACATACTCTCCTTCGCAGTCCAACATGAGGGATAGGTTGATCCAGTATATCCAAAATGGTCTGATTAACTTGAGAGCTTGAACTGATTGGTGGGTCCATCAAAATAAGTTAAGACACCATTTGTGCGGTTCGGCAAAGGAGAGTTGGGGCTTAAATCCAGTTTCAGGTTCATTTTAACATGATCCTTAAGGAGTTGGCGAGACACGCGATCAGCTAAAACTGATTGTCCATCGTACTGCTCCGCTTTGGCAGGCCTTACAAACTGCTTTCCCAGAACATCATTTTCACAAGGCATCAGTTCTGAGAAGATATGAGACCCTGGCTGCTTCCCTCGAAACATGTCAGGACATGAATCATGATAGGAGGAGGGCCCATTGACATAGAGACCATTCAAGGGTTTTGAAATGCCTCCAAAACCCTCTTGCAAGTTGATGGGCTGGTTCATGTGAATAAATGTAATGGCACCACTGCCACCTGTGAGAGGTGTGGATGAGCCCGAAGTAGTCCGTGGGCTAGATATAGGGGAAGGTGACATTCTTCCATTTAGGCGTGGTGGTGACCTTGAGTGCAATAGAGGGCTTCCAATGGGTGAGACAGGGCATGATATATTCCTTGGAATATGGATCTCACTGCAGTTAAGGCAAATAAAGATCAAATCAAAATCTTAATATCAAAATGTTGTCGTACGCATCAACAGAGAGAAACATAAAGATGGATGGATATATAAATGTGTGTGTGTGTGTGTGTGTGTGTGTGAGAGAGAGAGAGAGAGAGAGAGAGAGAGAGAGAGAGATTGACCTGGTATGGTTATTAGTTTTTGAATGTCTAGATGAATGAATTGCAAGCCTATCTGAATCCAAGTTGGAGAAATTCCTCCCTTGCCCAATACCCTGACAATGATCAATAAAACACAACAGATAAAATAAGAGGCGAGAAGAGGACCCGTGCATATAACAGCTGCTTCATCAAAGTCCAATAAAGGATATCATAAATGTGTTTATACTTGATGACACACAACACTAGGAAAGATTTTCAATCCATATATAGAGACACTAAAACAGAGAGATTTCAACATCTGTATTGTCTTGTCTCTAGATATAGGGAATGGGTCGGGTTGTAATGTGAACTAATGGTACTGACAACCTTACTATTTCGTTGTAACTGATTATCAAGAGTTCTTTGCACAAATTGAGGAAATAATAGGTATAGAACCTGATAGCATGCACTATGCTCAAACATAAATAAAAAATGATTACAAACTACCAACACCATAAGACACCAATTTTACATCTGTGGTAAAAACGAAATTCATACCAGTGCTTTCACTCCATTTGTAATCCCAGAGGGTGGATCAGAAGGCTCAAGGCCCAACATAGATCTTTCCAAAGGCGCAGCATATTTCACAAAAGGATGCTCCAAAAGCTGGGCAGCTGTAGGACGATGGTGTGGATTTCTCTGTAAGCATTGCCTTATGAAATCCTTTCCATCATCCAAGAGGCTATCTGGAATTGCTGGAAGTTCCTTGCTATTCCCAATCTTAAACATGGCAGCAACCTTTTAACCACAAAAAGGACAATATTACACAATGCAAAGAATACTTGAATTAGCCTATATGATCTCAATCTCAAATTCTTATAACCCCCTGCCCAACATCCAATAAATAAATAAATGTACACAAGCATTCGTTTGCAGATCTAAATTATTACCCCTTCATACTGGCTCCAAGGTGGTTTTGTTGTAGCCATTTCCAAAACAGTGCACCCAAGACTCCATATATCTACAGCAAGGTTGGCACCACTTGAGTTCTTTATAACCTGGGCAAGCAACCGAAATGAAGACTTAAGTAAAACCATCAAGAAGCATGCCATGGAGGAGAAAATATACAAAAACTAGAAACAACCTAACCTCAGGTGCCATCCAGTAAGGGCTTCCCTTAAATGATAATGGACATGACTGCCCAGTGATCTGCAAAGCACACAAGATAAGTATGACTTTGCTTTACATGCATTCAGATTAGGAGAGAAGGGAAACAGAATTGTTTTTGCAATAGTCGGTTATGGTTTGCATTATCATGTCATATTCTTTAAATCATATCAAGATTAAGTATGCATGCGTTTACATGCTTAGCCATCCCAAAGTCTGCCAACTTGACACGTCCACTTGGGTCTACGAGTATATTTGCCCCTTTAATATCCCTGAACATGAAAGATGCTTAATGTTCAGTAAATACATCGCGATAGTATATTATGACAGTTGAATTTATGCTTCAAAGTACTTGACAAAGAATAGGTAACGAATTTCACCTGTGGACAGTGTTTTTAGCATGTAAATACGCCAGCCCCGACAAGATTTGCTTAGTATAACTACGAATTGCTAGTTCGCCAAATTGCCCATAGTCTTGGAGAAGTTTATATATGGATCCACCAGATACATACTCCAAATATATATATAGCTTGTCATCAACCTGTTAAAGGAATGAATATCAGCACAGATTATAGTGGCTGCTTGAATCTTCAAGTAAAAGTTACTTTTGACCCATAATATTGCACAACTACTCAATATGCAGAGATTAAGCTTCAGACTCATAACTAAGAAATGTGTTATCAACAAACATGACAAATGAAAATCGGTATTTAAATGCATACTATGAATAATACAACATGGACAAAAGACTTACTGATTCAGACCCATAATATTGCACAATGTTGGGGTGCCGTAAACGGCTCAATAAAGCAATTTCCTGTCAAAACGTCGCAACATAAAAGTCAAATAAATGAAGGAAAGCATATAACTTGTCCAAGGAAGGAACTTGAAAACTAAAACAACAGGATGATACCTGATTTAATTGCTTAGCGCTTTCCTTTGACTTTGCATCATCAGAAAATAATGTGACCTCCTTCATCGCACACATTTCACCACTTTCACTGAACAAGTCGGTAATGTAAAATCAGATAGGCATAAACTTCACATGCAAGCAACCTATGAGAGAAACTAATTTACAAGCTACATGTGAGATAAATGGATATTTTTTTCCTACACTTGGCCAAACCATCAAGCAAGTTTGAAGGCAGGACTTTGAAGTTTTATACTTTAGAGTATTAACTGCTACATACTTAGATATATGTTTGCTTGGTTGAGAGAGCGAGAGAAAGAGAAAGAGAGAGAGAGAGAGAGAGAGAGAGAGAGAGAGAGAGAGAGAGAGAGATATTTGGGTATCTACCTATTAAAACCAACATAAACATGTCCAAAAGTCCCTCTACCCAGCAGCTTTCCCTTTTTCCAGCGTGAACCAGGGCTTGGTGGGTTCTCTGCCCTTCCTGGACTTCGTGGCACAGAAGGAGATGTTGCTGCGGAATTTGAATGAGACAAAGGGGAAGCATTCACAGGGGGAAGAGGCAAACGGTGACTTTGTTGTTTCCCATCATCAGCCCAGCTTGTCTGTGTCTCATTGGGAGTCCCTCCTGCTCTAGGATGGGTAGGCGTAACAGCACCACTATGAATTCTTGAGCCTGGGCCTGGGCTTGTCATTCTGGGACTAGGTACGGGAGAATACTCAGGGCTACCCCTGCTTTGCTGCCAAAACAACTGTCCAGACATATCTCCTCCCATTGAATTATGTCCAGAATTGTGACCCGAACCTGGACTGGAGCAGTGGCCAGAGCCAAGTAGGGTGACATCTGGATAAGTCTTTGCAGCCCAGAAAGCAGAGTTCACGACTTGCTCAGTGCCAAATGCTCTCATTGGGCTTCTAGAAGGACTTGACATTGAGCTGTCCGGAGCACTGCAGACAGCTCCATTATAAGGAACTTGTAGGTTTGGCACATGGCTGCCTAGTTGCCTCCGCTTAGGCGATGTGGGGGAAACATGATTATTGAAAAAAATGTTAGCTGGTTTTTTTGGCTCTCTTGAGTGTACTGGAGCAACATTGAGCATCACACTTCATAAAAGTGCAGAAAATTGTCAGGGATGAGCAAGCTAAAAGAATTACAAGTAAATCATGCACATTCATGCATATAAAAAAACATGCATACTAGTACCATAACGGCATGTGCAATAAAT